GATATGAATCCCTGGGGTATTTACATGATTCCTTGCCAGTGCGGTTATTTACATTGGTCAAACTAAGAGAGCCTTAAAATTTCGCATCAAGGAACATGAGGTATATGTTAGAAAAAAGGAAACAAGAAGTCCTCTGTCGCCCAGCATTGTTGGTCCGAAAATCAAACTTCCAGTTTTCCTGCAGCCAAAATTATTCAAAAAATATCTTCCAATGGTGAATTAGGTTTACTAGAGATGTTTCACATTTAAAAAAAAAAAAAAAAAAAAAAAAAAAAAAAAAACTTTCTGTTCCAGTTAATGACTCTAATTCCAATCCATCTTTACCTTCAGCCTTTAAGGAAATTATGTTTTAGTTCTTGTTTCATCAATAGATAGCGCCAGTAGCTTAATTCTTGTCCAGTCATTCATATCTTATCTAATGACTATATCTTATCTCATTCATTTGCAGTTTGGCAGTTGAGGATGATGGCTCGGTAAAACCATCAAAACTACTCCTGTGAAAATTTGCAAAAATATAATGCTGATTTTTGTTATTTGCCTTCTAAATTAATACTTGTTTTACATATTGTTTTATCTAAATTATAGGCATAGATGTTCGTAGTATTTCGGAATCCACTTTAAGCAATAGGCCCAATCTACACAGTCCTTGTATGTTCACATGATCTTAGTGTGATAAACCATACCAAACAGTATGCAAATTTCTAGTGAGAAGAAGCAACGTAATTTTCTGTTAGTAGGTTTCATAGAAAGCCAAATAGGACAAATGTTGCCCTTTAAAAATGGCACAACATTGAATGCTTGAAAGTATATCCGTGATAAATATTATCTGAAATGTTTGGTGAAGGCAATGGCAGAGTACACATACAAGAAATTGGCACCTCGCATGGGGTAAAGCAAAAGGGAATGGATGCAAAGCACAGGGGTTTGTACAAGCAGCGGTTTCCAACGCATCATATTCCAAGTAATCTTTTCTTCAGCAGTATTGATCAAGGACTGCAAGAAGCGCATTCGTTTATGATCTCAATGCAGGATGTTCACAAAATGTACGAATGCCAGAAATGGAAGCGGGAATCTTGGCGAGAATTGCAGTAGCTTCTTCTACAAACACATGATTGGTAGCATACGAAATGGGTATTTTTCAGAAAGTGGTGAGGCATATTGTAGACAAGGAATATATGTACCCTTACCGTGTACAAAAGGGCCAATGTTTATACCATGATGATTATCCCTGCCAGGCAGGCTTTCTGCAGTGGATGCTCAAGATGAAGAATAACAATCCATGATTTCCGGTATTATTATTTAGGGATGAGGCAACATTCAGCAGAAGAAGCATTTTGAATCTGCGAGTCAACACATTTTGTCTAACAGCAATCACCACTGCACTACCCTTCATAAACACCAGCAAAAAGTTTCTGTGAACCTTTGAATAGATATCCTTGGTGATTACATGGTAGGCCCTTACATCTTGCCACTCCATTTGACCAGTGCAGCACGCTGTAACTTCTTGGAATAAGTGCATCCCAGCTCATTGCAGGTTGTTCTGCTCCCCATCCAGGGAGACGTGGTTATGCACAGTGGAGCCCCAAGGACACTTTGCCAGGATGATCCTTCCGAATGGTGCACTTCTTGAATGCTATACATCCTGCTTGATGGATCGGACAGTGGCTTGGCCTCCTCACTCACCAGACCTCAACCCACTGGACTTTTTCTTCAAGAGGCACATGAAATCTTTAGTGTATGAGATGCCTATAAACTTGGTTGGCTAAATATAACACGTGAGAATCGTAGCTGCAGACAAAATTAACACAACATCCATGAATCTTTGGGAGGGTGTGCCAGTCATTCATTCACTAATGTGAACTGTGCAGCAACATGTATGGCTGCCACATTAAGCACTTGTTGTGAGTTTTTCTCTGATCAATAAATGAAATTGTGCAACTTTTGGTATCATTCATTCACTTTCATTCACCAACTGTTTTGAGTTCATGTTGGAATTCTAATTTTACTCTTTTCTGCCTGTCAGAGTTTAATGCAACCCTATGTTCCATAGTAATTATTGCTTGTCTGCATGGGTACTATCACTCCTCTTATTTTGTTGACTCACCTTGTATATCATGTGTTCATATGCCAGTGGTTTTTTAAAAGTATCATAGTGATATATATTTGTATCTCTACAGTTGAACAGCTTAACAGTAATTATAAAGACTACTGTAGCAAAATTTTAGGAACTGTTTTATTTTATGTATAAATTTTCTTGAATACTGCAGTTAAATAATATTTTGAAGTATAAAATAAATGGGTCTTAAGTAATAAGAAAATTTATTAATTAATTAAAATTTATTAAATTAAATTAAATTAATTTTAATTAAATTAAAATTAATTAAAATTTATTAAATTTTGTTTTAGCATTCATTATTCATATAGTGACATCTGTGAACTTGATTTTATCTTGTAATTATTCACTTCTTTCCCAAAATAATTTGAAATTCATAAATAAATCAATTATCTTATCATTTCCTAAATTACAAACAAGTTGTTAAACTTGTTTACATAACTTAAGGTTATATATAAATCTCTTGTGTTGTAACTTTATTTAGCAGTATCAAATATTTTTCTTTTATTAAAATTTTCATCCAATGAAATCTGCTTACTTCCCTTTCTAAAACAGTATGAACCGCTTCATAAAATAATTAAATGATTTTCTTATTCTTTAAAATATGACCTTATAAATTTAAATCTTTTACCCAGAACTGCTAGAATTTCTCCACTTTCATTCTACATTCACTTTTTCCTCCTATTTTCTTTAAAAGCTGGGGAATTAGGATGCCTTTAAAAATGCTTTTCTTCCAATCAGCATGGATTTGAACATTATCATGATCTTGAAGTTTATGTTGATATCAATGCCAATTGTTTACCTAGCTGTACAATTTCATTTTCTTCTGTTTTAATTTTATGATTTAATTTTCTGAGGAAAAATAGTATCTTCACTTGTACTACTTTCTTCTTCAGGCTACTCGCAGTTAATACCCCCTTTTCTAAAAAGCATTCCTATATCATATTCCTGTCTGTACTATACCATGCACCTTTTCAACTGTATCAGTCAAAGAAATCTTCTTAATCTATTCATCAATATTTCCTACTAAATTTATAAGTGCCATTAGAGTAAAATGACCACATTTTCATTGAGACAAAACGGGACAAATGGAATGAAATGAAAATTGTAATTTAGTTATGAAAGCAGACCAATAATTTAAAAAATATATATTTTATTGTATACATTCATATACTTGTCTATAAATATACTTTGGTAACTATAAAATATTTGTTTGTTACCAATAATATATATATTATTTAATATTATAAGAATAACTTTATCATTATAATAATAAAAGTATATTTATATTTAATAAATATACTTTTTATTATTATAATGTTTTTAATATTATGTTTTAATTAATTAATTTAAAATTTTACTTAAAAAAATTATGATTTTCTTTTACGGTTATATTTTTTATCCGAGGGAATACTTTGCAATAGATTCGGATCATTTATTAAAATGTCGTGAAATTTCTCACACGAATTGGTCAAATTATAATTTACGCTTAATACAGATTTTAAAGCTTTTTTAATGTTCAATTAATGTTTTCTTCAATTGTCCATATTTTATTGATGCTAGAAAAAACACGTTCTGTTGCTGCATTTGTTCCTGGAAGTGAAAGCGCATGTTCTACAATTTTCAAAATATTTTTCATAGGGAATATTATTCTGTTTAAAATGAAGGTGTAACTCCATCTATTTTTGTCTGTTTCCACATTTGCAGACAACCAACATTTAATTTTTTTAATCAGTAACATATCTTTTTACCAATGACACCTCATTAAAAAGATCATTTTCGCAAATATTATTTTTCGGAAAATGGTTACTAATATATTAAAAAGATTTTTCCACATATTCCTATAAAATCTCCTTTTTTAAAGTCACCCAATGAAAATTTCTAAATCCTCGAATTGAACGGTATATTCTTCAAGATATTCCAAGCAGTTATTTTAAAAACTTCTGACTTCTTTCAGAAAATCAGGTCGTTTAATTGCACTTTGTTCTTCCAACCTAGTGATGTCCTTTCAAATAACTTAAGGAATGTAATCGTTATCAATTCTTTGATTTCATTTGATTTTTCCGTAATTGAAATTTTGTCCCCTTCAATAATTTTCACAACATTGTGAAATAATGTAGCTTGGTTGTGGATGAACTGAAGCCAAATTTGTGATGTGTCATTTTCCAAAAAGAGCTGCAATATTCTTGGACATTTATCTTGTGACAAAAAGTATGATTTTAATGGTTTGTATATTTAAAAAATATTTTCTGCAGCTGGTCAAAGAGCTAGCCATCGTGTTTTGCTGTAAGCAATAATTCTTTTGTATTCAATTTTTCAACATCGACTAAAAGTAAGTCAGATGCTGTTTGAATAGTATTGTGTAGAATGTGCACTGCACAACCTACTCCAATAATTTTTTGGTTCAAATGTTCGTTAAGTTTCATAAAAACGTTATTGATGCCTCTTCTAGCTTTTCTACCAAAATTTGCATTAGTGTTATCCTCACAATAGGCAATAATTTTATTGTTCAAATTATTCTTTTTTAAAATAGTACTTATTGAATAAAAAATTATTCATGAAGTTTCACCCTTTCAATGAAACAATATCTAATATTCTAATTTTAATTCCTTTTTCTGGATAAAAAAGTCTAACAACCGTGGGAAATAATTTTAAATCTTTGTGGTTGGAAGCATCATAATATATGGATATAAATGTGCATTATACTTATCAGTATTGATGTTTGTTTATATTTTGGGGAATATTGGTCACTTTTAGACTTTCCGTCTATGAAAGGATTCACTGTATTTTTGAATATACTGAAATTAATAAATTTATGTTTTTCATGTCATTTTTAGTAGAAACTATCAGAATGATATTAAGTGTTCTTTTCCTTTGCATTTAATAGCTTTTAAGTAGTGGGCAAGCATATGCTGTAGAAGTACTTTTAGACATGCCTGAATCTGAAAGAAATTTAGATCTAGGTATGTGAAACAGTAATATTTAACTTTTTGCATTTTCTTTTGCTGTAAAATCTTGCTATGTGATTGTTTTTAGAATTTAAGATCTTTTTATTATGTGCCTGTAATTTAAAGTTATGTATGCCTTAAGTTTTAAATAATATAAATTTTTCCTTCAAATTATAACAGAATTATTTCCTTGTATGAATCATTCTTTTGGTACCTTTATGCAGTTTTATCTGTATTTATATTTAGTAGACTAGCAAAAGTTATTAAATTTATTCATTTTAACAGTTTATTTTATTTATTTTACTTGAATTTTTAGTTCAAAGGGGCAATTTGCCTTGAACAACTATTGTTTTCGTTTTGCGTTGAAACCTTTAAAAGGCTGTAGCACTTTTCAAATCGTTGCCACCAAATATTATTTCCCTGTATTATATCTTAAGAAATTAAATCATGAAGAATCTGCATAAATGTATACGTATATGTTTCTTACATTGTGATAAAACAACGGTACCTAGAGCCATCAAAATTTCACTAATGTAATCTTCCTATAATATGGGCATGTGGAAGCCCTAATTTGAATTTGAAATTTGTTTTCTTGTCGATTTCATATTTTGTAACACTTCAACAAATTTTTTATTAAAAACTAAACGATTTCAATGCGAGAAATGGCAACATTGTACAGAAAAAAACATTTTTATCTCCAGCATGTGAGACTGTGTATTGGAAATTCTAAAGATATGCTCAATTTAAAATTAGTTTGCAACATTGCTCTTGAACTGAATTTTATGATTTATGATCTGAAACCTATCAGATTTTTTTTTTATCATTGAAATATCTTTATATTGTTAAATAGGTATGTTCATGATACAGATTCATATGCTTGCTGAAAATGGAGCTATTCTGAAATCATCCCGTAGACCAGTAAATATTTAAACTCTATTTATTATACTCATGTTGCTGTTACATTTATTTTCTGTAGCATTTTCTTATAATATTCTTGTAATTAGCATACACTTAATATACAGGGTGATTATAATTAAAGTTTAAGTTTCAAAACGCTATAGAAAAAGAACCACTCATGAAAATGACGCCAAATTTGAAAGGAATGTTATTGAAGAAGGCGGAAAGCGTATGGCAGAAGAAAAAATTTAGTTTCAAAAGTTAGCAACAGATGGCGCTGCAAGCGGAAGAAGACAAATTAAAATGTTAGTTAAATTTCAGTGTTATAAAGCCGTCAGGTACCAGGCTGTTCCTCATTTCGCGTCTCAGACGTTCGCCATGGGTGTTTCACACTGCAGGACCGCGCTCTGCTGGTAAAGCTGTATTACAAGAATGATGATTGTGCAAGAGTAGCTCTGCAAAAATTCAGGACACTGAAGGGTATAAAAGAAAGCGTTGGGTCCAATGAGTGTCGTAGGTCTAAAGAAAATGATGCAAAAAATTCGAAACGACAGGTTCGTTTGATGTGCAATCTGGTAGAGGGAGAAAACGAGTGCATTCGATGGTAGTTGAAGAAGTGGCCACAGCATTACGGGAGGGGTCGGCCGGTGGTGTGCAACCGTGCAGTGCACGACGAATTGCCCGAACATTGGACAGGCCTATGAGCACGGTGCTGAAAATTGTACGAAACATCCTGCAATGCTATCCGTACAAAATTGGCCATGTGCAGGAGTTGCTTCCGCCTGACCTGACAGCTAGGGAGACGTTTGCGTTAGAATTCCTGGCTCGCATGGAAGTGGATAATGAATGGCCGTGGAAAATTTTGTGGAGAGATGAAGCCCATTTCCATCTGACAGGATACGTGAATACCCAGAATTGTCGAATATGGGCAACAGAAAATCCACTGGCAACGCACCCCGTACCACTTCATCCTGAAAAGGTCACGGTATGGTGAGGCTTTACGGCATCATTTATCCTAAAACCATATTTTTTCGAACAGACGGGTGCTTCCGGTCCTGTTACTGCAACCGTCACTGGTCAGAGGTATGCGTCTCTTTTGCGCAACCACGTGATTCCAGCTCTGCAACAGCGTGGATGTGTGGATGAAATCATTTTTATGCAAGATGGCGCTCCTCCGCACATTGCACATCCCGTGAAGCAGCTGCTGAGGCGCCATTTCGGAAATGCTCGAATTATCAGCCGTCATTTCCCTACAGCCTGGCCGTCCCGATCGCCTGATCTTACTCCGTGTGTGATTTCTGGCTGTGGGGATATCTGAAGGATGTTGTGTTCCGTGCTCCAATTGCAAATTTAGCGGAATTAAAGGCACGCATTTTGCAACACATTCTGAACATCACCCCGGAGACACTGCGATCCGTTGTGGAACATGCTGTTTGTCGCTTTCAACTTGTTGCACACAACACCATAATGAACATGTTTTGTGCCAGTCTCGCGACAGTTCCGAACTTCTTTGATGAATAGTTCTTATGCGGTATGTCGCCGCAAAACTCTTGAAACCGATTTGTCCCTTTCGATGTGATATGTACAGTCATGCAAATAAAATTATTCAACAATTCTAATTTGTCAATGCATTTTAATGTGTAACTTCCACCTTAGCCATTGTTTTACGAATCGCTTCTCATTTCTCGTCGTGATTTTGCCGCTTACAGCGCCATCTGTTGCTAACTTTTGAAACTAAATTTTTTCTTCTGCCATACGCTTTCCGCCTTCTTCAATAACATTCCTTTCAAATTTCACATCATTTTCATCAGTGGTTCTTTTTTTATAGCGTTTTGAAACTTAAACTTTAATTATAATCACCCTGTATTATAGTTATATAATTTTGTTTATGTACAAAACATTGTTTGTATATGTATATAAAATATCTGTTTTTTTTTTATTATTATTAAAAAGTTATTAATTTCATTGCTTATGATATGTATAAAACATTCTGGTTGTTAAAGAAATTTGTAGTTTGTAATAAAACATTTAACTACTTCAAAATAATGTTTAATAAATAAAAAATATCTAAAATATTATTTGCTTTTAATACTTGAAATCGTCTTTTCAATAATTTTTTTGTATTTTTTGAAAAATATTTATAGGTTTTTTTTTAAACTTTTGTCAGGTTCTTTAATGGTTTAAACACAGAAAAATGGTACAAAATTAAATGGGTATTGATTTTACAAATGTATTGTTGTTGTTACTTATCTCTGTCTGACAGTAGCATCAGAACAAGCTCAGAAAATTCGTCGTGGCAAGGAGTGAAAAACTGTGCCTGTTGTTGGCAAGAACCTTGAGCACCATACAGGTGACAGTACAACTTTGCTCAGTTCTGCTGCCAATTTTGATGGAGAGCACCCCAGAGGGTCGGGTCCAAGGGTTTTCCACCTCTCTTTCCCTGCCACCAACTCTAGAAAGGACTTTTAGCTTTGTCGAATATTTAGAGTGCCTCCATGCCGCACAGACACTATACATTTACAAGCATCCAGGATTCGAACCCCGGCCCTTCAGTATAACTAATAAAAATTCAGCACAAAGTCCGAGATTCAGAGTGGTCTGGACTTCGATGATTCCAGATTTCAGATTATCAGTTTAAATCTTGTAAAATGACGTACCATATTTCCCAGAGTATAAGATGCACTTTTTTGTTTCAAATAAGGTCTGAAAAACTGGGTGCGTCTTATACATTGATACTCAGTTTTTGATTACGTTCATTTCTGGAAATTTCCTCTATTTGGAGTTATGCGATTCCCCCCCCCACACACACACACACGGTGCAGAGTATGGGAATATTTCAGTTACGTAGAGTTAAGTGAATTAAATTTTTGAAGTTACAACATCAGGAAGAAGGAAGAGGCTTAGCATTACCTAAACAGACACAGTGGTTAAATCATTTAAGGAGTGTGGAATTAATATTACAGTGGATGGTACAGAGGACAATTTGTTGAGTATGAATGTGTATGAGGACTCGTGTGTGACGTGCTTGTCACTTGTAAGTTTTATTTCAAAATCATTCACATTTGATTTATTATTGTCAGCTTCAATTTCATTCTCGGCCTCAAGATTTCTTGGTGTTATTTCGTTTACTGCACACGATAAATTTACTTTCGGCACAGTATTGCATTTCAACAGTTTCTTTTGCGGCAATCCAAGCAAGCGATTTCTCATGTCATCTTCATAATCAATCCACAAATTTTCGCCGCAAATTCTTGCGTTTTTCACATTAATAGAATCTTGTCTTCGACATTTATGTATCCATTCTTTCATCAAAAGCAAATTGTCTTTTGTGAAACCATGAAATACAATATCTCTTCCTTTCATATTTCTATAAGTGTTACAGCACGTTGCTACAGCACAAGAAACCATATTACATAAAGGATACTTTAAATATAGAATTTAAAGGGAAAACTGACTAAAACTATGTATATATATATACACAAATTATTTTAAATATTTGCATTATTAGAAAACAAATATGTATGATTAAAATTAATTTGGGATATGCGACCTCCAAAAAATCGTTTCGCAACTGAATGAAACTACAGTTTTAAACGCGTGAAATCAGAGCAGTTGCAATACAGACACATCAGATTACTTCCAGTTCACCCCCTCCATGAGGCTCGCGTCGGCGAGGAGTCGAACAAAGGAATAACCTAGCCCTTCTATTTATCCCTGATATTGCTAGCCTGAGCTGTGGAATGATTTTCAGACCAATCATTCGTTAATGTTTTTGTCATCTTTTTTTTTTTTTTTTTTTTTTTTTTTTTTTTTTTTTTTTTTCCCTCCCGATTATGGGAACTTTATATTTGTGCCATGCTTCAGCATTTGAATGTAACAAAATCATTAGTCTTGCATCAGAATCTGTGACATTTGTTAGGGTCTTTTCTGCAGCAGTCACCAAGGTATTTTATGGTACGTATTTTTCGAAAAGGCCAGTTTCATCAGCATTTAAAATTTTTTCTGGAGATAATTTTCATTATTAAAGTGTTTAATTAATTCATTTGCAGGTTGTTCAGTATCAGCTGAAATTTTTTATTGCCTTGTACTATGGCAAGTTTTAAATTTGGTTAAACCACCTGTCAGAATAGTGCACAGTTTTCAAGTTTATTTTTTCATGAAATATTTCGGCATGAGCCATTAGCATTGGATCTGTAAATGGCATGTTCTTTCTGCAAAGGTGTCTCACTTTCAATCACCACTTTGTCATGATTGTCGCTTGTAGCATAATAAATGATTTATTCATTTTGAGGTGAGTGTCAGAATCCATGAAAAAAATTAAATAAGTTCCTTTTTCTGTCAAAGGCAGGGGCATACTCCTTGCATAATTTTCGGATATACCTTTACACATCTTTGCTGCAGTTTCACTTCTTGCCTGATTGAAACTGAAACAGGCTTTGCATATCCCGCTGTAGCTTCAAAATTAAAAACTCTTTTCAATGTAGTCAAAAATTCAAATTTTATCTTTTATAAGATGTCTGTAATAATAATAGCCTGCAAAAAATAATAAGCTGGATCAAATTAGAAAGTTAAGGAAGAGCACAAATATGTCTAATAACCTCACTTATTGTTTAGGGCAGATAGAAGAATGCTACTGCCCTCCGCAACAACCACTCAAGAACTAAAAAAGTGTAGTCATTGCTACATCATTGCTGTAGTTTTTGTAGCCAGCAAGTGTTTGAAAAAGACAAAGTAACATGCAAGAATCTTAGTTAATAAGAAGGAAAATTCTATTTACAGCCCACCTGTTTTTTCCCTGAGTATTATATTCTTTATTCCTAGATTTATAAAAGGGAAAAAATTCAAATTAAAAAATAATCTCAGTGGAGCTGAGGTTCAAATATTGCACATTCAGATTTATAACCTTGTACATATTATATTAAAAGTTGTATTATAGTAAAGTTGAAAAGGAATAATTATAGTCCAGTCATTTAATGAAAGAAATTAATGGAAAACCAAAAGAACAAAAATAATTATGAAATGAGGCATTTGATTATTTCTAAAAGTAAGAATTATTGGAAGAATGTTTAATTCTCCAGTATTGATCCTTCTTGACTCCTTCCCTTCGTCCCTTGAAGTAAAATTATTGCCCTAATACCATAATAAAAAATTTGGTAATTTCATCTTTTAAAGTAAGGTTTATATTTTTTTATAATATAATTTAGAAGTTATGTTAGTGTGATTATTTTATGTTAAAATACATCAACAATGAATAATGTAAAAACCCCAAGAAGTGAAATTTTGCTGTAAAGTTGTTGAATCACAAATTTTGTTAATAGAAATTGACGGCATATAAGGAGCGGGAAAATATCTTGTATGGTCAAAAAAGATATAATAGAATATTGTTTATAATAAAAAAATTTTTTAAAGTTTGATCTCTTAAAAATAAATAATGAAAAATAAAAGAAGAATAATTGGAAATTTGTTTAATTGTAATAAAATTTAAGTAATTTAGTTTTAAAGTAGAGAAGACTTTTATTAAGAACAAATATTAAGGTTTTGAAAAATTTTAGAGTATAAAGGAACCTTTTTTATTACATATTTAATTTTTATTTATTGGAGTGATTGATTTTTCATGAGGAGTAAAACAGATAGGAAAAAAATTTCCACCAATTTATAGTGCTCAAATAAAATTTATTCAGAAACTTAAATTAAGAAAGTTCAGTTATTCAGCTTAAAGTCAGAACTGAATTATAGGATCATATTCTATAAGACAGCTATTGAATTTTTTTTTTTTTTTTTTTTCCAAAAAAAGTGCAAAATTATTTTCAGTCAATCAAATACTTAAAAAATGGAGGACAGTTTTGTCTTACTGCTGTTTACATATAATATGTAAATAGCGACAACAATAGAACTGAATGGATTTTCCCGCAACTAACTGAAAGTAATCATTTTAAATACAAATTACATAGAAGAAGTTTATTAAGGAAAGACTTAAGCTCTTTTGGCTAATTTTGAAATTTAGGCTAGTATGCTTATATTGTCATTGTTATTTTGATGTTGTCTTTTTTAGAGATTTTGTCACATTATTTTCTAATTCATCTTCATTATTTTACTTTCATGTGTTCATACTAATACGTAATTCTTTTCCTGTAATTTTTGATTTTCATTTTTTTTTCATTTAGTTTTGTTTATTGTTACATTTTATTACTATTCTTTTCTTTATGATCAAATGTTAAATACGAGCTAGAGCATAAGCATGAACTTAAGCACAGCATTTTTTTTTTAATTTTAGAAGTTTATTATTTAGAATTTTTATTTAAATATTTGTTTTACAAGCAAGATATATTTTAACTGTATATTCTTATATTGTTACAATATTTTAGTTATTTATAAGTCTAGATTACATGCATATGTATTCATTGATGTTATTTCCCCTTTTGACTTCTAAAATGGATAATAATATTTATCTACATAAATGTTTTCTGTTATAAAATTTCCTTCAAGTTTCAAAATATTTAAATCATTGGTAACATTACATAACATTAGTGCTCTCATTGCTGCAGTTGTTATATACACTGTGTCCACAAGTCTTTATCTGGCCTGGCTGTAGGCATATATTTCCAGTTACAGAAGTTTTTTTAATAAATCAAAGGTTTATGTTTTAATATTTTTAATTAAAAATTATTTTGTGTAAAATATGAAATCTAACTTTTTACACATTCTTCCACTCCCTTTATTTATATTTAGTAAAAAAAGAAAAAGAAAAGAAAAGAAGAGTTCCATCCCATACCACAAAAAATGACCAAATATCCAATTTCAAAATTTGTATTATTTGATGTCATTTGAATTTGCATTGAGGGGTCGGTTACTAAATAAATTAGAATAACTTACTGTAATTTCCCCCCCCTTTTAAGTACCATTCAATGGTATTCTTTTGTGATTAATTAGTATCTTTATTTGGAATTTTGTTACATTTGGTATGCTGAAAGAATTTTCATAAATAATTTATAAGTTTTCAAAATCTAAAAATACATTATGAAAATTATTATAAAGTTTTATTGCTTTGAAATCATAATATGGTAATCAGAAAAAAATCATTAAAATATAAATTGTTTTCATTTTTAATTAATTCAAATGGTATTACTAGTTAACTACATGGTAATACTGAAGTCTGCCAGTCTTTCTTAGAATATGAATTCTGTAAGATTTTGTGCATAAGATATCCAATATAAAAAAAAAATTATGTTGATCAATATTTTTCATAATAATCTCCATTGAAATGCTCATCATATACTCTCTTAACTTCAGAAACTTTTATCCAAAAAAACATTTTATTTTTAGTCATGTACAAATCCAAATATTTCTTTCTTCAATATGTGTATAGTCCCTGAAGGTGATTCTTGATTTTTAATATTAAATATCTCCATCAATTCTTGTTGCATGGGCATCAAACTATGTGCTTGATTTTTTACATTGAATACAAAATTTTCCTGTAAAATTGTAAATGTAGGGACGAGAGGAACATGTAAAAAATTAGATTTCATAATTTTCACAAACTGGTTTTTTAAATACAGAGTGTTTATAAAGTCTGTATACATTTTTACTTAAACAGGCTTTATTCTGAAATATAAATTATTTACATGAAAATGCAGCATAATAAGATACTGAATTGTACTAATTCAAATCAGGGGGGGAGGGGGCACACTGAATTGTACTAATTCAGTGTGTCCCCCCCCCCGAGTGTCTAGGCACAATTGCCGCCATTCCACTACACTATGGAACACCTTATGTAAAGTTACCGGTGTAATTTCAGTTGCTGCAGCCGTAATTCACTGTTTTAATTTTTCAATGCTGCCAGCCTTCACTTGTTATACTAGGCAGTTAAGTCTGGTGATTGTGGAGCCCAAAGCCGTTGAGAGCCATGACCAATCCACCTATCAGAAAAGTTTCATGAAGGTAATTACACACAATAATGGCAAAATGGAGAGATGCCCCATCCTGTTGGTGGACAGCAGTGTCAGTAATGCCATCTGATACTAGCTGTGGCTCATGATATTGTTGCAATATATTGAGATAAATTTCTTTAGTGATGATCCCTTCTGCAAACATGAAAGATGTACAGAGCTTAGTTATTCCAGTCCATACATTAACTTTAGGTGTGTCTCCCTGAGATTCATATAACACATTTGGTTGTTCATCAGCCCTCATTCGGCAATTATACCTATTAACATGGCTGCTGAGATAGAATGTGGATTCATCGCTAAAGAGAACAATCTCCATTAAGTTCTCACTATCCACAGTTTCGAACAAATCATAACACATGGCTTACCGAGCTGCACAGTCCTCAGCTTCAAGCTTATGCTCAGTTTGAATGTGATAGGCATCCTTGTTTAAATGACAACTTAAAGTTTTCCAAACAGTAGTATGCAAAATACTGAGTCCCTGGCTGAATCTTCATGTAGATGCTTGGGGGGGGGGTTACGCCTAATCGCTTCTAGTAAGCTTTGCTCAACTTGTGACATTATCGAAGGTATTCCAGAATGGTCTTTGTCTATAACACTACCAGTTGGCTTGAATTTGTTTACCAAGGTTTTTAATAGCTGCTCTGATAGGAGCTTATCTTCTATATTTCTGGACGAAGTCCTCCTGCACCTGTTGATACGGTAGCCCATGTGTATGGGCATAAACAATAGCTATTCTGTCTTCTGTCGGTAGCATTCTTTCAGATCGCCTCCAAAGAAATTGGGATTAGAAAGTATTTCTCAAAAATGTATGAAGACTTATGTATGTATGAGTATGAATGAGTATAAACACCCTGTACAAAAGTACCAGAATATATGAGTATGTATATGAGAATCAGTAGAATATATGAGAATGTATGAGTATGAATGAGTATAAATGTATGAGTATAAACACCCTGTACAAAAGTACCAGAATATGAGTCTTTGCATAATTTAAAACATTTTTGTAGCTGGGAGTACATGTCTATGAATAGCAGTTTTAAAGATAATTAGCCAGGTAAGGGCTATTGCAGATACAGTGTATAATGAGTTATTTATGTTAAACTCTATGAAAATTTAACTGATTTAATTAAAAATTAGAATGAATTGAAGTTAAGCTTACTTAAATATGTATTTTTTATTTAGGCTTTACTGCATTATAGGTCTCCATTATTCAAGATAATATATACATTATTTTATGTTCCTGCATTACTTGCTGGTTCTGTTCAAGAAAAGCAGACTATAGTTGTTCCATTATTTGAGCATTACGTGGAAGATTCTGTAAGCAATTTTACTATGTGTTATATGGTATATATGATTTTATTATGCTTTATGAAGTTAGTGATAGGCAGATTGAACTCTTCTTTCGAGGGATTTGTGTTAACAATACTTACATTTTCTTATGATATGACATTTGTGATTTCCATAAACAATGTCAAAATTTTAAAGGCATTAAACTAAAATTATGAGCATAGTTTCTTTTGAAATATGCATTTCAGTGCTCTTTTTACACAAAAGTATTTTCTTCCAAAATAAAATATTAAACTATAAAATTACATTTCCTCTTTTGAGCAGGAAAATCATATCATACTACTAAAGGGACATTTATTAGTTTATCAAATAAAAATTTTTAACAATTCTTAAAATTTTAAAAATATTTTGATAGTTTACTTTTAGCTTTAAAACATATTCCCCGTGGATTTTGCTAAATTTTTTATTATTTCTAACATAATTTTCCTCCACTTTTTTAACATTGCATTTGTTGTTTCAATTTTTGTTTTAAAGAAATATTTGTTTTAGAATTTTGTATACTATTTCTTGACAGATTTGTTTGGTAGGATTTAAATCTTGACTTGGGGATGTTCTGAATACTTCTCAAACTATAAAATAGCAGCTAGAGCTGTTTAATATTTTGAAATATTCAGAATAGTATTCATGATAGATTCTTGATAGAATTATGAATTGCTTTGTATGTTAAGTTATTGTGATGATGATTTCATTTTAAAATGTCAGTTTCTTTCATATTATGGTCTCTTATAGCTTTAAGAATGCCCATTTTCAGAAATTGATGTGTGCCCCTGTACACAACCCTAGTCTGCCATTTTCAGCTGTTGCAACTATAATTTTTGAGATTCATATTTAATTCATTTTCTTTCTTGTTGAAAGATATTAAATTAGCATTTCTCATCAAATATTATCTTGTTCCAGTTTTTAAACTGTTCTTTTACATAAATTTGTAGATAGAAATGTGAAATGTTCCGGTCTTTATCTGATGTATAGAATTTTTAATGTCACCTGGCTGTTATACTAAGATATTGTGTTATACTAACATGCTGTGTGATTATTTTAAAATCTTTCCATTAACAAATACTTTGATTAATAATGTTCTGCTTTACATTTGAAGCAGAACAGGATTAATCATAGGGTTAAGTAATTCTCAATTATTTAATTATTTTAGGCAATATTGTTGCATTCCATAGCACATCTTGGATGGTCTTTTAAGTCTTTTTTTTTTTTTTTTTTTTTTCATTTTTTCATTTTATATTTTATTTATATTCATTTATATTTATTTTGTCAGAAACTGATTAGTTAAAATGAAACTATTACTGAAACTTTTCAGGGAGATTTTACTTCAGATAATTCAAAGCGAGAATAAATTAATTAACTTCTTGAAAAATCTATCATAATAAAATAATATAAATTCTGAGAAAACTGTATTGAAAAGTTTATGGAACTAATTTTTGTATTGCTTATTGCATTTCAATACAAAATAATATTATAAATACAGTGATTTTATTTATTTATTTTTTAATATTTCTTATAAGTAGTGTGTATTACTTTTGTGGCATGAATTTTTTTTTTCTAAAAACAAAATTTTGATTTTTGAGCCGAACATTTTATTCTTGGAAACGGTACTTATTGTAAAAGGATGACATGATAAAATGCTTACACAAAAGAAAATCACATTTAATAATTAATTTAAATTTAGTGTATTTAAAGGGTTTGACATAATTTTTGGAAATTGTAGTTTCTGTGAGATAATATAAATATTTGCTATTACTATATGAGTTTTTATTGTAAGAGGCTGCAGGTACCTAGGAGCTTTGAGGCAGATGTTGAATGTACTATATTGCTTTACTTTTTATCTCTTATTTCATTTTTAGAATGATGACTATATAAGCTATTCTAAAATCTTTGTATCTATGTCACTGCAAAACAAAAGTAGTTAAATATATGTAAGTGTATTTAACTTTAGTTAAATTTTTATTTACTTTATTCTATATATTTTAATATTTATATTAATGTAAGTAAAATTATAAAGCATAAATGTAGGTAAATTATAAAACTTATTAATTTAATAAAATTATAAGGCACCATCAATGATAGTAAATCTAAATAAAATTATAAGGCCATCTATATTTCCATCTATAATCCACTATTTGATATCTAAAAAAAATGATATATAGAAATATCTAATTATATATTATTATTTATTATAATAATTTTTATTATTTATAATCGTTTATATATTATTTATTTATTTTTACCAAGATTTATAAGACACAATTTTCTATTTAATTCAGCCTTGTGAATACTTTGGATTAATATATTTTGAAAAATATTGAAATTAAGTTTATAGTTCTCTAACCTAATTTTTTTATTGTTTTCTATTCTTTAAGGAAAGTGGTTTAAAGAATAAATATATGAGGTGAATCTTTTAAAAGATGCCCTGTGGAACATATATGAAAAGAATGAGTGAGTAAGTTCAATAGAGTATGACAGGAACTTAGGAGGTGCTGGAAGTCTCCTTCTTTGACCTTGAGGCACATGTGCAGAGGATATCACATGTTCTGAAAAGCACCAGCAAAGGCATCCTGTGGCATAGCCTAGATATCTGCGATATGTTACTTGATGTTCTTTGAGTGTATGAGGCCTGTTGTGGCATGCCTGTTCCTTTAGAGCTACTCACAAGAAGAAATCACAGGGTAATGCATCTAAGGAATGAGTAAAACTCATATCTTACATCTTATCTTAGATACATATATCTATATCTGCGATGTGTTACTTGGTGTTCTTTGAGTGTATGAGGCCTGTTGCGGCATGCCTGTTCCTTTAGAGCTACTCATAAGAAGAAATCACAGGGTAATGTATCTAAGGAATGGAATGAGATAGCCAAGGTTGGTTTGTGCCACAGCTAATGATGCAATCAGACAAGAACACTGATTCAATGCATTTGATGTATGCACTGTGACTCCATCTTGCTGAAAGTAAGCATTTCTTTGCTGATCCTTAGTCAGTAGTTCAACAAACACATTGACTATGTTACTGAGTCAAGCTTGGGGATGATGCAGCTTGACAACATGGCACACCAACCACCAAGATTCTGAGCATTCAATGGAACCTCCATGAACACATATGGATTAATACTTGACCAGTGTTGCATGTTCTGAGAGTATATGTAGCCTGACAGATGAAACTTTGCTTTATCAGAAATGAAGAAGTAAACATCTACAACATCTTTTGAACAATGTTGGACAGAAACCACTCACAAAACTGCTTGTGAGTTGCTTTGTCTTACTGATGCTTCACAGTAATTTTAAATACAGCAAGTTCAAGACATCCTTCAGGATCCACATAGAGGTTGACTGGAATGCCTGCAACTGTTTGCAGACTTCAAGGTGATTTTGATGGACTGTGTATCAACTGTTCTGCATCATATTTGATGGTCTGTATATTAGCTGTGCTGCATCACTAACCTTTGCTTCAGTTTGGACAGTCTTTGGACACACTTTTGGCTATTCAATATGGATCCAGTTTCCCACCATTTTGCAATCAGTTTTTATATTACTGATTTGGTTGGGGCTTTTGCTGCAACTTCATTCACTGTAGACTCCATCATATAAATCTATGCACTGTTTCTAAGAACTGAGGTGTGTATACATCTTGACAGCAAAAATATGCTACTATGCCACTAGCACTGTACTTACTCAATGAACCATAATCACAGCTTTCTGTGTTGCTCAGCTTTACTCAACTGATCTGCACACTGCCTGCCTCAAGATAACTGATGGACACTTAATACACCCCTTCTGAACAGGTTTTTGTCACACTGTATTGTATTTACTTAATCACGCATTTCAAAAATATTCTACAGGGCTTCTTTTAAAGGATTCACACTGTATTAGAGATTCTGTAACTTTAAAAATAAAAAAATATATAAATAAATAAAAAAAAAAATGTTTTAACTAAATTTCAGGCAACATTTTGGATATGTATATGTTTTAAACTAATAATTTATGGATCTATTAGAATAATCTATGCAATTTCTTTCTTTCTCCCTTTTTTAATATGTAACATTTGCTTACTGCTTACCATTAAACTGATATTTTTCCTTTTTTCTGTTTAAGTATCAGCCAACACATTTTGCTTACATTCATTTTGAAGCTCCGAAAATTGAAATATATTCATGTAAACTGAGAATTCATGCTCAATTTACTGGTCTAAGGTAATGTATGACAAAAAGGTAAAATTATTTATTTTGCTGTAAAGTTTTCCTTATAGTACAGATTCGTGATTAATGTAGTTTGCAATGACTGCATCAAAATGCTACTTTATGAACATTTTACCTGGTTAGGAAATTCTCCCCAAAATACAGTTTTATCAGGGAGTATATAGACTTCTTTACTTAATCAACTGATTAATGACCAAAGCACTGGTTAAAATTATAGAGCTTCTAAAAAGCAACCCAAGACTTTTGTTCTGCAGATAATAATTTTGTTTTGATTGCTAAAATACATAAATGGCATTTGTATATCACTTAAATTTTATGTAAAATTTTAACATTTAACACATTTTGTATGTGCAAGATACTTTTTAGAATTTTCATTTTCAGAATTTTTTAGAATTAGAGAGGGTGTTTTTAAGTAAGCATATCATCATAAAATATATCAAATGAATCAGGTATTCACATGTTCAAATACAAATATTCAATATATAATAAAAATTCAAGTCAAATAATATACTAGAGCAGTGGGGTTCAGCTTCAGACTCACAGGGGCTTAGTAGCCCATAATCCTACCTTTAGTTGCCCACCAGCTGAAAACACAGCGTTATAATGAGACAAAAAAATTTACTCTAATCCTAATGGAAAAAACAATCATAAAAAGGTGCACTCACACATCATGTGTAGGGATGCTGCATTGCATTCACCTTCTTGCAAAATAATTGCCATTGTCCCATTTCCATGATTTTTATCTGTATGGTGAATTAGAATTAGAGTGCCTGCTTTAACATAACTCTGTTGTTAGTTTAGTTGTAATAAGCTAATAAAAGTTTGTAGTAATGGGTTCCAACTGCTGTTTCTGATGAGTTTTAAAATAGCAATGTTATCATATCGTTTATTTGTGGTGTGCTTGTTGACATGAGTGATGTGAAACCTACCACTTCAACAATGAATGAATCAACAATTTATTTACAAACTTTGGTGAAAAAAGCAGTTTGTTTATTATACAGTGCTTCAATAGTAATACCAAAGTGATCAAATGTTGAATGTTCAGCAGTAAATATCCACTCAGGTCTGCTGCATAATGTTCAGTGATTGAAAGCTTCTCTAAAAGCTCAGTAAAGCAAGCTTTTTCCTTCAAAAATTTAAAAAAAAAAGTCACACATAAGCATCCTTCAAAGTAAACTGCATTCTTGCATCACCTAAAAATGCATATTTAGATGGGACCATAGTGAAAAAGGATGTGCTAACAATGTTAGAATCTGTATTTCACAAATTCAAAAACAAAAATGAAATATCAGCTGTAAAAGATGTGCCTCTGTCACGAAATACAGTGGCAAGATGAGGGGACAAAATAGCAAATGACATCTACTTACAAATGAGATCTAATTTGGAAAAATGTGCATATTTTCCCCTGCAATTTGATGAGTCCTCTTATTTTACTGACACACCACAACTTCAGGTGTTCAAAAGAATGCTGTTTCTCTGATTTTGTTCATGAAAGAAGCATTGTTAACTATATTGACTTGAACTAGATTGTTAACTATATTGGCAAAACACAGAAGAGAGCAAAACATATATGATGCATTTGAAGAAGAGTATACCAATAAAGAGGCTCGTCACAGTCACAACCCAAGGCACACCGGCTATGGTCACAAATAATATGGAATTTATTGGGCTCTGTAAGCAGGATGACCTATTTTCCAAATTTAATTCGTACCACTGTGTTATTCATCAAGAAAATCTGGCAACTGAAAAACTCAACCTCAATTACATAAAGACTGTTATTATATGCAGTGTAAATTTTATCCAAGGTCAGCCTTTGAACGTAAGTTTTTTAAAGCGTAGTTTCCAGTCATTGAAAGCTTCTCTAAAAGCTCAATAAAGCAAGCTTTTTCCTTCAAAATTGAAAAAAAAAGAGTTGCACATAAACATCCTCCAAAGTAAACTGCATTCTTGCATCACATAAAAATACATATTTAGATGGGACCATAGTGAAAAAAAGATGTGCTGGCAATGTTAGAATCTTTATTTCACAAATTCAAAAACAAAAATGAAATTCTATCAGCTGTAAAAGATGTGCCTCTGTCACGAAGTACAGTGGCAAGGTGAGGGGACAAAATAGCAAATGAGATCTAATTTAGAAAAATGTGCATATTTTCCCCTGCAATTTGATGAATCCTCTTATTTTACTGACACACCTCAACTTCTGATGTTCAAAAGAATGGCATTTCTCTGATTTTGTTCATGAAAGAAGCATTGTTAACTATATTAACTTGAACTATATTGTTAACTATATTGGCAAAATACAGAAGAGAGCAAAACAGATATGATGCATTTAAAAAAGAGTATACTAATAAAGAGGCTCGTCACAGTCACAACCTAAGACACACCGGCTATGGTCACGAATAATACAGAGTTTTTTGGGCTCTATTAAGCAGGATGACCTATTTTCCAAATTTAATTCATACCACTGTGTTATTCATCAAGAAAATCTGGCAGCTGAAAAACTCAACCTCAATTACATAATGACTGTTATTGTATGCGGTGTAAATTTTATCCAAGGTTGCCCTTTGAACATAAGTTTTTTAAAGCCTAGCTTTATGAGCTAGATAGTGAGTATGGTGATCCAATTTATCATGCAGGAAGTAAGGTGGCTGAGTCGAAGAAAAGCTGTAACAAAATTTATTGGAATGTTAATGGAGATGAAAACTTTTCCCATATCCTAGGACAATTATGACCAAAAATCAGATGACATGGAGCAGTTTGTTGACTTGACATTTTTAACCAATATCACTGTAAAACTCAATGACCTAAATTTAAATTCCATGTTACAACGAATAGGGAAACATATATCAGAAATGGTAAGCACAACATCTGCTTTTCTAGCTAAAATCGATTTGTGGAAGAAAAGCTTATTTGGTGAAAGATTATCAATATTTTCCATTATTTACCCACATTTTAGATCCAAAATGTACTCTGGAGTATGATCTATCTAAGCATTTTGAAAATCTCCTGCTGCTTATCAGATTATAAAAGAAGATTTTAAAACATGTTTCCTTTAGAGCCTATTTTATTGTTCACAAACACAAGAGAAAAAACTTTCGTGGAATTAGATAAATTAGAAGTGAATTCTTCAATTGAAAAACTTTGTTTTATTATCAAATCAGAAGCTGAGTTAGAGATTACTCGTCATACTGATACGATATTCAAAGCACTGAAAATAAAAATGATGAAGTTTTTGAAGTAATGGATCATATTAAATACAAAAATGCACTTGGGGGTGCACTAACAATGAAAGCAAGACATTATGTCATCTGAATCAAGCATTTTATTCAAAGTTAATAGAGTGAATTTTTGCAATACAGTATTCAATTTCACTCTGTAAGTACTCAAAACGATTTATTATGGCTACAAAGTACATTTTGGAAGAACCTGGGAAATGGCAGATCATTGGCCGTTTAAAAGCAGGCAGACAGTCATAGAAACACTGAGATGAGTGAATATTTCACAACATATGATCTCTACAACATGGAAACAATTTCAAAACTCTAGAATTGTTGTAAGGAGGCCTGGATAAGTTCATAAACAGATAAAAACTGCTTCTCAAGATCAATATCTGGCAATAATTGCCAGTTGTAACAGGAAGTGTACTATTTAGAAATGAAATTCAGAGCTTCAGTAACCACTGGAATTGTTGTATCACAGCAAAATGTGTACAGAAGGCTTAAGAAAAAAGGCCTTTATGCCAGAAAACCAAGGATATGTCTTTCACTGTCTTTGCAATAAAGGAGGGATCACTTTAATTCGTGCAAAGAACATCAGAACTGGAGTGATTACCATTGGTCCCATGTCCTCTTTTCCAGTAAGTGGAACTTTGGTTTAACATCTGATTCAATACATTTACATCTGAAGGGAGTCAGATGTGGGAAACCTTTGAACATTATGAAACATGGCTGTTTCTGTAATGCCTGTGTGATTGTATGGGGAGGAACTGACCAGAATTATTAGGTCTTAAAACCTTATGTAAGACTTTTCAGAGGATGGATGTGATGTTTTATTTATAGATGGTAATATTCGTCCACATTGAGCAAACCTCGTTGACGAATTTCTTGAAAGTGAAGACATTGAGTGAATAAACTGAACAGGAATATCTCCTGACCTTAACCTTAAAGAGAACTTAATTGACTACCTTGGAAAAGCAGTTGCCTGGATACATCCTCCTCCTAGAAATATAAATGCCCTGAAGATCACATTGCTGAAGGAATGGATCTTAGTTCCAGAACTATGCTTAACAGTGCTATTACCATCATGAAAACATGTTATGATATTCAAGTACAAGCCAGGAGTCATATTCCATATAAAATTCATAAGCCTTAATTTTTTTTCCAAGTTATTCTCCCTCCCCAACACTCCTTGTAACATTATTACCATTTTTATTGTTTCATGCTACAATTTTATATGATATGAAGTGTTCTTAATTTGTTTCCTTTGTATTTATGAATTAGGATGTTATATATCATTCCACGCGATTTCATAAAATTATAGCTCACATTTTCTTACAAATCCATCATTTCTTGCATATAAAAAAATTTTGGGCATGAGAGTATATTTAGAAATAAACTGAATATCCGTGTAATTCAAAAATATGCAATACCTCACTCCTAGTTAATGTTGAAGCTTGGAGTGAGGGAATTAGAAAATAACAAAATGAGTTTAAATAAAAAAAATAACATGTTTTATTTCTAATATAAAGTCTAAATTAAAATTAAAATTTTTTAGTTGCTTCTGAATAGTTATTGCTGCATTTTAAAGATGGAAAATTTCAAATTCAAGTACTTACCATTTCAGATTTTGAATGCACTTATGAAACATGCACACTGAAACTGCATTATTCCTCTTAAATAAGATCCCCTTGTACAAAGGCTGTTAGAACATTTTTAAGACTATAAAAACAGTCTGCTTGGAAATTACTTTTTTTAACTTCAGCTTTTTTTTTTTTTTTTTTTTTTTTTTTTTTTTTTAATTTTTTGTTGTTTAGTGCAGTTTTTTTTTTTTTTCAAAGAAAGTTATTCGTATCTAGTTATTAAAAACTACTGGAAAAGCCATGGTTTTTCTATATCTAAAGCTATCCTACATAATATTGTCAACAAGAAAGAAAAAAATGTCAAAGTGTGGCTTTAAGTGGAAAAATTGTTTCAAATACATATCCAAACAGGGTTTGTTCGGTCCTTCAAAGTCCTTAGATTTTTTTAAATCGATTTTTGGTCTTTAAAAGTCGCTAATTTTGGCCAAAATCAGCAGAAGGTCCTTAATTTTAATCATCTGAAATTTCTGTCTGTTTTTACGACTGCCATTTGGAGTCTGAATTAGCATTTTGGAGGAATATTTTTGGCGATTCGCTGACATACACGGTTATTCTTTGAATGGGTTCATGGGTTATAATTTGTTTCTATTTCTAATATAAATGATCCGATACTCGAGTTCCTAAGCAAGAAGTGAAACATAAGCATTTCGAAATTCATTTTTTCTAACAAAGAGCTCTTAAACAACTTTTTCCTTTGGGGGATGTGAATTCTTTTATTAAACGGTTCTAAATTTGGCGAGTTATCAACGTTTGGGCGATTTTAAGATCAGTTTCTATAGAAAATTTTTAATTCCGAGATCTTTGAATTTTTCGACGACTTTTTTTTAAACATCGTAATATTAATAAATTTCATTAAAATAATGGTAATAAATTTAATTTATATTTAAAAAAAGTAACATTAAAATAAAACATTTTTATTTTTCGCTGTCATATTATAAAGTTTCATTTTGGAACTTATTCACAATACTTTGAATCTGAAAAATAAACAAGGTATAATGCTATAAAGCACAATTTGCGAAACAGCTCTTAACAAAAGCAAAATTAGACTGACCAAGTATGTGACAAAATGAGACATTAAAAAAATCAACAAAGCTAACTGTTAGTAAAACGTAAATGTCACTTATCTTCTTTCAAATATGTCCAACTATTATAAGTGTAAAATATTTAATGCTATTTGATAAATTGCATAAAGTTTATTTTATTCTCAAACTTATTAATAATTATGTTAATTAATTCATGTTTAGTAATGATGCATACTACTTAGGGATCTATTTTATTTTTAGGATAGTATTACAAAAGTGAAATTTAGGCATAGATAATATTTTTAACTGAATTTATTCAATTCCCATTTGCTCATAGGTCCTTAAAAGTACTTAATTCTCATGTGCAAAAATGTGTACAAACCATGTCCAAAGAAACAATGGAAAGTTTCTAATGTTGCAAAGGTAAGATCTTTAATATTAAACAAAATCTGTCAAGTCAAAAAACAGTTGCAAAATCAATAAAATGCTCAGAGTTACCTGAAAACATGGGGATTTGAAGCTTAAAAAGGTGAGAAAACGTAACATGCATCATCTTTCTCCATGACACATCACCTAACACAGAACGTGCTGCAGAATTCTTTATGAAAAATACTTACCTGAACAAAAATGGAAAACTTTTGTCATAGTAAATGAATTTTGGGTGAATTTAAATGACTGCAATAAAAAGAGATTTATTTATTATCATCAAAGAGGAGGAAAAAGTCTTAAAGCATGGATCAAAGAATCTAAAGAAATTTTTTCAAAGGGATTTATTTTTCACATAACAGTAAATTAAAAATAAAGAGAGTGCAGAAAAATGTTAAGATCAACTTATAAAGAATATTATCAGGAACATACTTTGTACCCAATTTAGAAATATGAAATACCTTCTGTTTACCCACAGTGCCACAATCACAAGAACTGCATCAAGACAGAGCAAATGCACATCAAATTCCACTGTTAATTTCCTGGGGAAAAAATTAAACAATAACAGCAATATCAAATAATTGTTAAAGTAGAATATCTTTAGAATTTCCGCTGGATAGTCTCGCGCGTTTAGATTTGCAGATTGGATATTAGTATTGGTCAAAGTGTGATGTAAGTATATGCATCATTTATGTTATGTAAAAGTCCCACTTCCCTAGCGCGCCTTCGTGGTGTAACGGTAGCACGGTGGGCGTTGTCCCCCGGTTTGCTGGGTAACGGCCCTCTGCGACGGTCTCTGCGTATTCAAAAGAACAAGCGGGCAGATGCATTAGGAGAATCATTTACCAATTAATGCAAAATAGACCTCTCATCTACATCGAGTTTGTTCAGTGATCAGATCTTAGAATTGTGTCCTGGTTTCTAACAGACGAAACAAGCTCCCCTTTACTTCAATGTTTCCCTTTTTGCATCCAATGACAGCATGAAAAATTGCTGATGATTCAGAAAAACAAAATGCACACTGATATTGATTCTCACCAGAGAACTCGAACACGATGTTTTTAGACACGTGTTCTGGATTCTCAGAATCCCATCGAACATTTATGGGACATCATCGAGAGGTCAGTTCGTACCCAAAACTCTGCGCCGTCAACACTTTCACAATTATGGACGTCTATAGAGGCAGCATGGCTCAATATTCCTGCAGGGGACTTCCAACGACTTGTTGAGTCCATACCACGTCGTGCCTAAGCGTGGACTTACAACCCTCCTTGGACTTCAAGAGGAATGGGATAAAATACCTCTTGAAATGCTACTTAAACACAAAAATGTGAGGTAAAATATTTTTGTAAATACAATGAAAATCATTAAAAAATATGCTAACAGCCTCTAAATATGACATCCCTTTTATATTAGGATAAATTTTAAGAAATAAAAATGTAGGTGAATATTAAGAGAGCATTGTTTAGATTTGAATTCATTTGTTTTGCATTATAGTGAAAGGCAAGTCACCTAATTAAATACATTGTTTCATTGAGCGTCCAGAAAATTCTGATGTTTTCAAATTGAAGCATGGTTTCTTCCAATTATTTTGTTTCTGCTGTTATGGAGTGACCTTTATTGCAGCAGATGTGTAAATATGGCCTTTTCTGCTTATGTTGCATAATTCTAGCATTTCTGCAGTGCTAAGAATGAAAAAATCAAAAGTTCATTTTCATCATATAATCCTGTATTATTTTAAAAAGTGTAAAAGTGCTAGTAGTACTGCTTATAAAATTTGTGCTATGGAAAAAGTAAAACTGGTTCTCTCGAATTTTTGTCTCTTCAGGTCACTTCAAAATTCTGTAAACAACCTAAGTTCACTTCTTTAGAGACTGTCGAACAGCACATTGATAACTTGTTTACTAAAAAAATTAGTTACTTTTTATTTGTTTACTTTATTAAACATTTCTTTCAATGTAAGTTGTTTAAGTTGCTTCGTTTTATATGCTAATACTTTCTCTTTAATTCTATAAACAGACATAATTTCTTGCTCAGTTGCAAAGTTTCGCTGTTCAAGTCCTGTAATTGCTGTGCCGAGAATACCGACTAACTTGTCAATCAAAATTTTTTCGTTTTCACTAACCTCTCTGTCACTTTTTTAATGCCTTTATCCATTTTTTGCAGCAATTCCACTTTTTGTTTGTTGGACATCGAAACATGCTTTTGCTTTGTAGATCCTTTGGCACCACCAGAATTTCAGTTCAAGCTTACTTTTTATAAAATTGCTCTAACAGTCTGCAAACAATAATAAGCCGAATTCAATTAGAAGATTAAGGAACAACACAATCTGCAACATTAACTGAAATAGATAATTAGATAAATTTAGCCTAGCTTATACTATCCATTGTACATTAAACGCACATGCATAAACGCTACGCATGCACAGAAAGTTTGCAGCTTTGAGGTCCGGATTATGGACATTCGGATTAAAGACTGTATTACAGCCCTAAACTGAAATGACTTGACTATTAGACTGGTACTATAAAATAAGCACTTCAAGGGAACCTCCACCATTTGCAATCATAGTTTTTGTAGTCAATACTTCACAATATTTATTTTCACTTCTCATTTGAAACTGTAGTTCAAGTTGTCCATCATTTGTATTCTTTTCATGAAGCAAAATGCTAATCTGCAATGAAATGGGGAAAAATTTAAGCAAGATGACTATTTTTTCTACACCTGAGTCAGATGAAGCGATGGAAAATAACCTTGACATTAACATTGTAGTTGTGGCTATTACAATGAGCAGAAGTTATGCAATTTATGTACATGATAATTACCTATATGTTTTATCTAATTTATTAATATATATTATTAATAATTACCTATATGTTTTATCTATTATTTCTAATCTGCTACGTTTTAAAAAATGGTCTCTTACATTAAGATGATCTGAAAATAGATTTTGCAGTCTCATGACTACCTTAACAAGATTTCATTAGATATCATATGATATAAAATATATTGTTATAATTTGGATTAACTTTGAAATGTATGCATGAATCAAAATATCACAAAATAGAATTTTCTGTACAACTTTCTGCTGTTATTTTTTTCCCCCGTTTTCAGGTATATGATGTACTATTGGCCTATTTTATCAGCAATAATTGGCATTGGATTCAACTTTTGCTGGTTATCTATGATAGTGATAATAATTTGGCTTCGACAATTAATGAATACCTCACAGTTTATTGATCCTTCTGCACTAAGTACGAGGGAACGTCAACAATTGGAAGAAATACGCCTAGCCAGCAGAAATAGACCTCAAAACACTGAAGGTAAAATATACTAATTGGTAATATATGTTGTCTATTGCATGATTAATTTTTAGATTTTAATTTAGCAATTTTACAGTCTGTTTTCTTTTAGCAATCTCTTGAATGATCTGAAATGATTCTCTGTCCCATTATTTGCTTTTTATATAAGTGCTGAGAATGAGAATTGCTACCTTAATTTCTAAACATTTGGTGCTATTAAATTGAATAAAATTCTTAATATTTGTTTTTGAAAATAAGAATGCAATATAATTCTTTCATTTGGAATATAAAAAAGTACATTTATCTTGTTTTTAGAGTAATAAAATGTATATTGAGAAGTTTGGAATTTACACTTGTTTAATGCTTCCTTTTTATGTGATTTTCTTAAGAATCCAAGACAGTTTAACCTAATTTAAAATATAATTCAGGTGTCAAACTTGAAGTAATAAGCTCCATTAAATTTTACTTGAAGGTCTGCCATATTATTCAATTTTCTGTATGTGCTTTTAAAAAGCATTTACATTTGATTCTTTTTTGAAGACAGATTTTGGGGTTAAGTCCTAATTCAACCTTCAACGAGAATAGTAAATTACCATTGGCATATTACATGGAATAACCACTACAAATTAGAAGAAAGACCATGGTGCACTAATTAGGAGGTTTTTAGAATTGTTTTGCAAAAAGTAATAGTAACTTTCAGCTGCAATAAATCAAAAGGGTACCTTGTTGAAATGAGTCATTATTTTATAATACTAGAAGAAAGAGGAACAACAAATATGAATGAAAATCTTTATTAATAGCTTTAGCTTACTACTTGTGTTGGCTTCTGTTGCCCAAAGAAGTTCCAGTATGTATGCTATGGATTATTTCATTCCTTCATCTAACTTTAATATATTGTGCATCAGTTTTATCAATTCCTCATTTGCTTGCTCAACACACTAAAAGGCACACTCTTGTTTTAGGAGATTATAAAACTTCTGTTGTCATTCCCTTCTTTCCATCAATTTGCTATAAAGTTTCACATATTTTGCAGAAATTTAACTTTTGGGTTGTTTATTCTCCCATCAATAAAATTCCGAGTTCCATACTCAAATACCCCATTCCGGATATGAATTCTTGGGGTATTTATAGGATTCGTTGCCAGTGTGATTTAATTTACATTGGCCAAACTAAGAGAGCTTTAAAATTTCGCCTCAAGGAACAGGAGGCATATGTTAGAAAAAAGGAAACACAGAAGTCTTTTGTTGCTCAACATTGTTGGTCCGAAAACCACACTTTCAATTTTTCTGTGCTGCCAAAATTATTCAAAAAAAAACATCTTCCATTGGTGAACTGGATTTTCTAGAGGCATTTCACATTCATAAAATCTTTCTGTTCTAGTTAACGATCCTAATTCCAATCCAAATTTGCCTTCGGCCTTTAAAGAAATTATGTTTTAGTTCTGGGTTTCACCAACAGATGGCGCACTTGCTTATTCTTGTCCAGGCTTTCTTATCTTATTTAAACATTATTTCCTAACTTGTTCATTTGCGGTTTTGCAGCTGAGGATTGTGGTTCGGTAAAACCATCAAAACTAGTCCTGTGAAAATTTTGTAAATGTAACGCTGATTTTTGTTGTTTGACTTCTGAATTAGTATTTATTCGGCATGTTATTGTGTCTTAATTAATAGAGACTTATTAAAAGCTATCATACTTCATATCCAGATTGTCAGCAAGAAACATGCATATTGAATATTTTTTATATTGTTTCTAAATTACACAGAAGTGATACTTTCTGTCTTATTGATTTTATAAAATATGCCATCAAATAACATTTCCATTCTGACTGCATATACAAATTTGGCATTATAACATCATTTAGAGTGTATGAAAACATATAGATGCTATTTAGATTTATTCCAAGTGATCCTTTAGTAACACTGTCTTGGTCTCTCTCTAACTAAACATCTGTGGAACACAATTAGCCTTCAATTGAATATGCTTGAGGGCTGTTGCGGTGAGAATGAAATAAGAATTTTGGTAAATGTCACATGATCATGATGAGTATACAAGGACATCATTCAAGGATTTAGTGAATCAAACTGATGCCAAGTAAATGATTGTATCTCTTAAATTATTGACTGTATTACTTAACTGTATCTTAACTCCCTGTGTATTCAACCACTGGTAATTATTTTTAATTAAATAATATTTTTAGAATGTACACCTGCCCAGTTTTGTCTCATTTAAAACATTTTCTGTGTGAAGCAGCAGATATGTTGCTAAGTGATTAAAAATCATCTGAATCAAATTACTAATTAGCCAGTTATGATTTGCGTAATATTTATACTTTTATTTAAAATGTTCCTGATGAAAGCATTCCTTTTACATTGTGTTTGAGAGCCTTATATGTGACTGAAAAAAACTGAAACTGAACATTTCTGAAATTTTTATGGCTGAGATTCAAATTACAGATTATCATGAAGGTCAAGAATTTTAATGTTAGGAAAAACGTTTTACGTAGTTATGCGGTGGAAGCTCTTAAATATCTTTTGCATTTGAATTGAAAATACTCTAGGTATGATCAACTCAATTAAACAATATGGAGATGAGTGATCATGAAAGCTCCAAGTATGTGCTACAGGTGTATGGCCACAGTAGGTGTGGCTACAGGATGTTTTCTGTATGTGGTTGGTAATGTATTCCAAACATTGAGCAAAGTTCACAGACAGCATTTATTATGATGATAATAGACAATACACAACACTATATAGATACGTGTTCAAGATTGGGGCTACAAGATTTTAGCCCTATCGACGCTTCATGATATGTGTCTTTACATGTTGAGTTACAAGGTCTAACTAACTCTTTTGGCGTATTAGCGCCACCTATAGTATTTCACTTCATAACATACTGGGCTGCGATGAACAATGGTTCATCACAAGCTTCAAATTTAGAATTATGTTAATGCAATATTCAATACTAACAAGATTTTCAACAATATTATATGACAAGTTAAATTTAAAATATAAATTTCAAAATCACCATAAGCTGAAAGAGAAAGTTATTAAGATACTTACTATACTTGGACACAAAACAAATACTATGAAACTAAAATACAAATACAGTAGAAGTCCAGAAATCTGCAAAGCTTGGGACCAGAGGTTGTGCAGATTTTAGGATTTTGCAGATTTCAGGACAGAAAAGATAAATCATAATATTCAGACTAAAAGTGCAAAATAAGTAAGCATATTAGATACATTAAATTAAGTACATTATTGCAATAACTTATTATATGTGTTAAATTATTATTACATATATAAATTGATTATATTGTTCATTGCATTATATATATATACAGCATCGAGGTTTGCTGATTTCTCCTCATGCAAGATTTCCGGTTTCGGATTCTGATGTTAGAATCACTGTTGTGTAAAATTTCAACAGCTTTTCTGTATTATTCCATATATCATACACAATCATATCGCAATTCCATACGATTCTGCTATAAAATGCAGATGTCTCCATCTTTTGCAGAATTTGCACTTTTTGCATTACCATCAATGCAACGTGTTTACATTTTTCAATGTTGCAAGCAGTAAAATCATGAGTGTGTTTCTTATCTGTAATTGTATTAAAAAGGGCTGAACTTTAAAATATTTTTAATTTATCCACAAAATATCTGGATAAAAAAAGGCAGCACTAAATAATCTCATGAAATAACAAAGCTCAGAAAATACAACAACGTGAATCGTGAACTTGAAAGAAGAGTTGAGTGAATCGTCTGCTTTCTTACCTCGATGCAGATAAGAGGGGGAAAAAACTTTTATCATGATATCAATAATTTGGTATTTCCAGTATGACTCATTATTATTCGGTAATTATGACGTCATTATTCGGTAAGTATTTTTTCTTCGATATTTCGTACTCAATGTTGCAGTTTCCGGAACCTGTAAACTGAATGTTTATATTTTGCAATGTGGATTTCAGGTCGGCGGATTTTCGGTATTTGACTGTACAATGAATTCTATGTGAAAATAAGAATCAAATTTTTAGAGTCATTAATTTCACGATGGCAAAATGGTAGTGGTGAGAGTTTGTTGATAGGATGTTTAATTACACCACTGATAGTTTTTAAGTCCACTACTCACACTTTTCCATCAGATTCTGGATAAACATTAATTACTCTACCTAGACGCCACCTTAAAGGTGGTAAGTTATCATCTTTGACAAGCACCAAGTCATTGGTGCTTGTCAAAAAAAAGTTTGGTTTGTTCTTTAGCCATTTTGCATGTTTTTGCAATTGGGAGAGATAGTTGGATGACCAGCATTTCCAAAAGAGTTGAAAAAGTTGCTGAATCAATTTCCAATGTTCAGCAGGCGTTATCATTATATATTTGGTTCAGGAATGGTTGTTAGCGCGGTTCCAATAAGGAAGTGACCAGCTGTTAAAGTACTTAAGTCATTGGGAGCATTGGAAATCGTCACTATAGGTCTGGAATTTAGGCAAGCTTCAATTTCAGTTATCAAGATAAGAAATTCTTCAGATGTGAGCAATTGAGCTCCTATTGTACGTTTTAAGTGATTTTTCATTTGTTTAATGCCATTCTCCCAAAGAGCTCCGAATGTGGGACGGAAGCATTGAATTTCCAAGCAATGTTTTCTTGCCTGGATTATCTTTTTAATGCTGCTAAAAAGGCTTCTGAAGAGAGATCACTCACAACCACCAAGTGTACTGCTTTTGTAGCAAATCATATGAACAGGCATACATAGCACTTGATTGGCTTCACTCCTCTTCCCTTGCGGGGTTTCACAAGGAATGACTCTGCATAATCAAGGCCTACTTTAGAAAAAACTCTGCTTGGCATAACTCGAGGTGCTGAAATATCAGTCATTATTTCCGATGTAGTATTTGTATGATTTCTGAAGCATTTCATGCAGTTTCAAATAACTTTGCGTACTGCATCTCTACAGTTAATTATCCAATATTTCTGTTGGATAACCAGAATTGTAAGTGAAGATGAGTTTCAGGAAAATGCTTA